GTTCAAGGGGCCCCAGGTGTAGTGAGGGCGTCACGTGCTCCGACGGGCGCTGTCCCTAGCCGCTCCTCGGTTCTCCACCGCAGGGGACAGACCCCCGCCCCCGCCCTGCAGACCTGGGGATGGGGAGTCGCGGGGAGGCGGCCGGGGAAGCGGCTCCTCTACCCACCCGACTCAGCTCATTCGTGATCCGGCTGCTGCTTGTCTAGAAACACACCCTAGGCGCGTGTGGGGACCTCTGTCCCGGTCTGGATTGGAGGCGGCGGCGGGGCACCGTGGATTAAACCAGGACCCCAAAAGAAACCAGGCCCTTCTTTTGCACAAAAAGTAGATAACGGGAGGTGTAGCGTGTGTGGGAAGAGATGATCTGCACCCCTCGGATTCTTAGGAATTGCTCAGTCGTGGGACCGGCAGGTGGCATGGTGGTAAGAGCGCTGGACTCCCACATGGCCCACCATGATTCAGTCCCAACCTACCGGCTTGCTTTCTCGCTACCCCCACCCCCCACCCATGCCTCCCTGGTGAAATTTTAAAAATAATATATAAAATTAAGTGAATAATTCTAAAAAAACAAAACAAAACAAAACAAAAACCTCAGTCAAGCACGAACATTCAGGAGATTAAAACAGCTGGGACCGGGAACCAGCAGTTAGCGTAATGGCTATGTCGCTGGACTCCCACGTAGTCGACTGCGGTTCGCATCCCGGACCCAGTGACTTAAACTCACGCCGGGTGCGTGTGCGTGCGTGCCCAAGATCCCGAGAGGAGAATGGAGGAGAAGGGATTGCGGCGTGACCATCCCCCCTGGGGGGTGATTTCTCACTTTCTCTCTCTCTCTGTCTGTCTGGCGAGCGCATGCGCTCTATAGCGAAAACCTCTCCAAAAAAAAAAAAAAAAAAAAAAAATAACAGCTGGGCCCAGCCAGTGAAGTCTGGTGGAGGCGCCTGGAGTCCGGTGGGGTGGGCTCTGCAGGTGCAGGCCACACCTCTGCGAAAGCGGTGGTGGCTATGGGTGGATCCCACATGGGTTCTTTGTTTGCGGCTCAGTCTCCAACCAGCTGGGCAGACGCTGGGCAGGCATGTGGTTGCGTGCTCAAAATCTCCAGAGGACGGCGAGATGGAGAAGGGACTGCAGCGGGCCCACCCTTCATGAGGGCCTCTGTCTCTCTTCCCGGTGAGCGCTTATACCCTCTGACAATTTTTTTTTTTTTTTTAAATCTGGAAAGAACGAATTGTTCCTTTATTAGGAAAAGTGCCTAGGACCCAGGAGAGACAGTTTGGGAGTATGAAGGTAAAGTTCGGCCTGGGCCCACCCCTGAGGAAGCAGGGGGAGGTCTGCCCCGCCCAGGCTCCCAAGCCTCCCTCACCAGTTCCAGGACTCAGCCCACAGCTGGCCCGCCCGTCCCAGGTCTGCTTCTTGACTGCCAAGGGGAAGTGGTGCACAGGGTGCTGGCTGCCTCTACACCGTGCCCCCCAGAAGGTCCTGAGACCACCCCTACCTCGTGATTCTTCCTGGGGTGTTTGTTGGACAGGGGAGGTCAAAGTTGGGTGGGTGTTTGAGGTCCCCAGCGCAGGGTCCCTTCCCTCCTCGGGCTGTGGTCAGACCAGGAGAGGAACTTCCTGGCCGCCAGCTGGCACTCGGCCTCCGGAAGCCCCGGGCGGGCGCAGCAGGTGGTTCACAGGAAACAGCAAGAAGCCCTCCACGTCCACCCCACACACCCTAAAGACTCAGCGAGGGACTGGAGACAGGAGGTGCCCCAAGGTCGTCCCCCACGGACCAGGGAGGGATTCCAAAGTGGCACTTTATTCTGTGCAATGTGGAGAGGAGTGGAGGGGTGCAGAGGGGTGGCGCTAGATATATGTGGTGTCAGCGCCCGGAGCGCTCTGTCTCGGTCTGAATCCGCGTCCTCATCCCCACTGCCCTCGCTGCCTGAGTCGTCGGCGCCGTCTCCCTCCGGGGTGGGCGCGTTGAGCACGACCACGTCAGCCTCAGCTCCGATGTCCTCGCCGAACCACACGCCCTTGTAGCCCCCCTCGGGCCGCCGCTCCTTGGTCAGAATGGATCGCACCTCCGTGGGACTGCCCCCAGCCGGGCCTGCCACTGGAGACGCTGGGGCATGACCCACTGGGCTGGCGGGTGTCGGGGGCTCAGGAGACGCCAGAGGCTCAGGGAATGCGGGCTCCGAGGGTGTGGGTGGTGTCTCTGCAGGCGTGGGGTCCGTGGGGTCCGTGGGGCCCGTGGGGTCCGTGGGGCCCGGCTTCGGGTCTGGAGCAGGTACCCAGTTGGCCTCCTGGTCCTCTAGGAAGGCCTGGTTGTCGAACCCACGAGGCTGGGGCTCCTGGGGGCAGAGCAGCAGGGGCCTCAGCCGGATCACTTGCCACCAGGGACTGCCCCTCCTCCCCTGGAAGGTCTCTCTCTCTCAATTTCCCCCACTCCCCTCTGTCTCTGCCCACCTCCCTCTCCACCTCTCTCCACCTTCGCCCACCCCCTTCATCTCCCCCACCCCCTCTCCCTATCCCTCGCTTTCTCCTTCTCCCATCTTTCCATCACTGCCCCCCACCCCCTCACCTTTTTCCACCCCTAGGTCTGTCTCTGTCCACCCCTCCCCATCTGCCTGCCCGTCTGTCCCCGGCCTCTCCCCTTCTCTCTCCTTGCCCGTCCCCGCCCCAGGGCCTCACCGGAGCTTTCCCGGAGCAGCACTTGAGCCGGTGGCCATGGTGCTTGTAGATCAGGACCGCGAGGCTGAGGAGGCTCAGCAGCAGCAGCGCACCCAGCACGCCCCCCAGGGCCGCCATGTCCACCACAGAGAAGCGCCGGTCCTTTGCCAGGTCCCCACCTGTCACACCAGAGCTGTCTCCTCCCGGAGGTCCTGCAGAACACACCATTTGGTTTCCTGGGAGGACACTCCGGGGACCTCCCACCTGACCTGAGCCAGGCTCAGCACACCCTGAAAGCCCGGAGCTGAGGTCCCCCACACTAGGGACCTGTGTGTCCCAGGGGCCCGGAGGACTGCTGCGCAAGGTAGGGATGGGGACAGCACCAGGCTGCGCCGGCACGGGGGAGGCAGGGGCAGCACCATAAGAAGGGCCCGGGCCGGGGAGGCCTGGACTTGAGGCTGGCCTGTCCTGCCTTCTGCACACTTCCACTGGTGTCCTCGTGGGGGGCAGCCCTGCTGTCAGTCTGCATCAGACGAGGCAGGCAGCCTCTGTGGGATTTCAGGGTCTAGGAGATCGGGTCGGCCCACCTGGGATGGCCCCTGGCCCACAGTGTCCCCTGTGCACTCAGTCCTGAGTCAGTGAGGGTGAGGGTGAGTACCTGAGGACAGGGAGGTGCTGGTTCCTAAAGTGGGGGGCTTCGGCTGAGAGGTTCCTGGCTGCGGGGTCTGTGTTGAGCCCCCACCAGGTGTGGATGGTTGGGGGGAGGTGCTGGTTCCTAAAGTGGGGGGCTTCGGTTGAGAGGTTCCTGGCTGTGGGGTCTGTGTTGAGCCCCCACCAGGTGTGGATGTTGGGGGGGGGGTGCTGGGTCCTTAAGCGGG